AGATCAAAACAGAGGATTAAAATGGTAAAGCAACTGAAATCTTACCCATAAATACTGGGGCTCCCCCTCCAAAGCAAGCCAGCAATTTATAAATGTTGCAGACATACATTTTAGTTTGCTTTTTTCTCCCACAGCACCCAAGAAAGGCCATGTAGCTTACCAAATAACCCTACACTCACACTGAATAAAGATAAACAATAACATTTCACAAATAAAAAGCTAAGCCTGGGAAAGTCTTGCAAAGCCAAGAATGAGAATATTCCTGCAAAGAAAGTTGAAAACTAGAGTTGTGCCGTTTTATTGGAGCAACACGTGGTTCATTGACCACTCTGACTTGGTCTGCTCTTCCAAACAAAAATTCTTGACTCGTTGCTATAAAACCTCAAATTGTAGCGATTTGAACCCTGCAATTTAAACATTTTAAAATAAGAATTCTGTTAGCTGGCTTCTATTTCCAGCTGCTCTACCCTTCAATATGAGAAGTATAATACACGGTACACCATCCATATATAATTATTGTAAACATTTTGTGTCCTATAGAGCCAAGGTTTGACAACAAAAACAAATCTGACTTCATTGTATTTGTCTGATGAACTTTAACACCTCAAATAGAAGTGAGTTATCCTATATGAAATCAAATGCCAAGAAACATCAGTCTTCTTTGATTGTGCCTTTTCCATGCATGCTTGCCCTTGGGAGAACTGGTCAAAGTGCAAGTATGAGGCCTGGCTTACATCTCTCTGAAGTCAACAGTGTGCCTCGTCGTCACCAAGGGCAAGAACAAAATGAAACTTGCAAGAAATGCCGACAAGGGTGTAAAGCACAATATATCAAATGCTGACAAAAATCAAGGTTTTCACAATTTGACCTAGGGGAGGTGAAAGGTTAATGAATTCACAACATTTCTTACACTTTATTTAGATATTAATGGAATGGCAAGCTGGCACGCTTTTAAATGAGCCCAAAACCTTTCACCTTTTTTGTGTCAATTATAACGAAAGACTTTGTTATGGGATGAAAAATGAATTACCTGGTCATCTGTATCCCATTGCCAGGACTTCATCCCAAAATCGCCAACCCAATTCAAAGGAGGTGAAGTAAACAATTACCTTTTGTTTACCAATTTCTCACAGAATGACAAAATTCCTAAACTCTCCAGCACATTGAAGAAAACAAACTAGAGTTGTATGGAAAAACAAAGCCAAACTATTGATAGGCAAGAATTTTGGAAGTTAATATCAAAGGTATTCTTGTTTTTGAAAATGGAATTGTGAATACTGTCCCACCAAATAATATTAATTAATAACGAAGACTATAAAGAAGTGCAAAGATCCAGTACATAGTTGCGTCTACAAACATTTAATTGGTCTGCTAAAATAAAGCTTGAAAACATCAATTTTTCTGCCAACTGAAACTTTAAAATAAACTTAATTCAGTTAGAAACTCTGTCATATTATAACCCGACAGTCCAGAGATTACAGGTTTAAATCTGGGCTAGGTCATATTGTATCCATATAATACAGAAATGACTGGTTAGGACCTGGTTATGTAAACATCTAATTGTGCCTGAGATTCCTCAAAGGACTAAAGAGGGAAGTAAGAGTTGACCTGGCTTGTCATGCCAAATAAATCTATGCATCCAGCTGGGTGGTTTTGAAATTGAAATATTACCTACAAGAGATGCATCAGTGTTCAATCTAGTTTCTTAGTTTTCTTCTTTGCTCTTTGTATTGTAAGTAGAGAAGACCATGGCTTAATTATGCAAGTTTTAGAGGATGCATATAAAATGGTACAATCCTTCCCGGGAGATAATAAAAAAAGAAAAAATCAAATTTCAAGTCCAAATGATCAAAAAAAGATACTGATAATTTCACACCTCAAGATCTACAGACAACAACCACAGCTGAAACGCTCTTTAAATTTTATACTAGTGGATGTATTCGAAGTCTTGACAATTTTTAGTACAGGTGTAAGTGTGTATGTACTATATATGTATTTGTGAGTCTCTGCCTGTGAATATGAAGTCCTGTGTGCGTCTGTAGGCAGGAATGTTTGCTAGCCTTTGTGTGCTGCTGGGTGTGTTTCCTTCCTCTCTAAATCAAAGGCCCCCACACAGCAAAGAATGAAAATTTGCCCATGACCGAAGCCAAAATGCAACATGATCTTAACCACCAACAGGGTGCATTGAAATCAGGGCAGATCACTGTTATACATTTCCAAAGACACAGCTTTAATAAAATGCAATTAAAGGGGTCTACAAGCTTCACCTTTCAAGGCAAAGACAAAAATGTTTACCTCCACAAACCCCTTAAAAACCTTACTGAGCCAGTGAAACAATGCATCAGGAAACAAACTACAGGATAACTGGAAAACTTTTTAAAACCTAAACCATTACAATTTAAATGTTCTAAAAGTGATCTAAATGATCTAAAAGTGTATTATCGGTATAATGCATTATACAAAATGCATTTTGCTTTGTATCATTTCACATCTAATACTATGTCAAAGAGCCTTACACAGATTATTTGCTTTAAGACAGGTCTCAGTTCTGGGCCTGGAGAGTTATTTCTGAAACCAAGGATTGAGTGTAGAAAAAAGTCTAAACCCAGGTTATCAAACCATGCAGAGACTGAGGGCCCATATGGAACATAAACCCAGAGAAATAGGAGCACTTCAGGACTGGGATTGTGAATAACTGGTTTAATGTAGCTTTTTCTTGAGGATTTCCATAGTGGAACAGCTCCGCTTTTTGCAACAAAATCACACGTTACAGAAACATAAAATTCAACTATCGGCAATTTTCCTCTGTTAGTTCAAGCACAATTCTTTGCTGAAATGATTCAATCCCTTGCTAAGCTTTACACGAAGTCCATAAAATATCCTAGGGTTGTCCTGCAAAATCTCTGTAAATTTAGGATGAAAAATTAACCCCCAACCCTTTTCAGTTTCCCAGAATCCTCCTTTTTCCACCCCACAATGTTGTGAGGTAGAATTCGGGGATTCACACAGCAGACATTGCTTTCAAAAATAAATCACAGAACTTTTTTTCTGAAGCAGTGTTAAGTGACCCTGAGTTGAATGAATCCCCACCCATAGCTCCCACAATGCATTGTTTAAGGAGACTGTCTTAAAACTACAGTTTCACACCCTTTTGCCAGACTAAAAAAAAAATCATCATGTGCCCCAGATTGGGTATAACAAAGAAAGACAGCCTCCTACAGTAGGTCTGCTTCACTGTTATGTATTAAAAGAAATAAAATGCCTTCAAAAATCACTTCTAAAGAATTTGATAGTATTTGATCACCTGTTCACAGTGCACAACCTTCCACTGTGTAAGCTAGTGCCTTTCTAAAAAAGCTGCCCAAACTATGACAGCTATGAACTGTTTGGCATAATTGGAAGCTCATCCAGTCAGACCAGAATCATGAAAGGGTTGAACTTACTTCCATTTTTCGTGCTGCAATGTCTTGGTCATAGTGATCCATAAGATTGGGGAAGAGGGTTGCGTTGTAGGGCATACCAAGACAGCGATGGACTTTTATGGGTTCACAGGTGAACGAACTGTGGCCCCAGCTGGGGGTCACCCCCATCACCTCCAGGCAAATCAAAGTGAACCCCAGGCTCAGCATCTTCTTGGTTGCTCAGTTAAAAGCAGGTGGTATCGGGATCAAGTCTGGGGTTGGGCTCCAGAAGCGAGGCGACCTCACTCGTCAGCGGCAGGCGGTCGCCCACATTCTTCGCTCTTGCCGGTCATCGCCGTGACGACCGCGGGCAGTGGAAGGACAGCCGAGCCCTGCGAGGGCCCTTCAGTGCCAGCTGGGCTTGTGCGTTTCTCTTCCTCGCCTGGCGAAAACAAGGTCAAACCTCTTTGTTTTTTCCTGAAATGAAAAACAAAGACGTCGCAGAAAAAGGAAAAAAATAAATATCAGCTCCAGGTCATTCAATGTTTTTTTTTCCTTCTTCAGGCTTTCTTCCAGACACAAATAATGCTATAATGAGCTGGCAAGGAAAATCGATTTCAAACAATACTGTGAAGCCCTTGATTTCAAGTGCCTTTAGACATTCATCTGAGTTCGGTGAAATTCCGTTCCAGTAGTGTTGTTCCTACAAGGTGAAAAAAGCAGCAGAACTACATAACTTTACATAACCCTTCAGCTCTAAGGCTGTCTTTGTTTTCGAGGGCTAGTTATGCTTTAACACCAACACACCTTCTACTGCTTTTCTGAAGAAAGAGCTAAACATCATCCCTTCAAATGTATATCCAACTTTTTTGAAGACAGACAAGCATTTTTATAAGAAGTGGGAAACAGGATAATGTAAAATAGACTGATTATTCTGCAATCTAGTTCGAAATCTCTTGAATTATTCTAGTGGAAAAACAGGACGCAAACGTTTTTCTAATATTCAGGCCTTAATGTCAATCAGTTCAAGATCAAAGCAGCTGTAGTTCAGTAAACTGGAAGTGAAATCAAATATCAACAAAACAAGGCTTTCAAATGCTTGAAAATGTTCTGTCCAGGCCAATGACTATACTGACTTTATTCTCTTATAGCCTCAAATTAAGTCTTTAATTTCTGGGGCAGGGTTATATTTCATTTTATTGATGGGAAGAAAGACACTCCTCACAACAGCTTGTGTCATCTTTCTCAGTCTTCATAAGCCTACTGGCACTAGTGTACCAACCTGAGCCCGTTCCCTCTCTTTTTCTCCAACGTCTATCCTTTAGACATCTTCCCCATCATGCTTACAGTAATGAGTTGTAAATCAAGCCTTTCAATGGTTTCATAATCCAGCCATCTGACCTGCTTGGTATGATCCGTATTTGGAAACAACGTGTTAGTGAAAAGGTTGCTGAAGGGGACAAGAAGTCTAATGGAGCGAGTCTGGAACAGCTTCTACCTGCAGGCTGTCAGGCTCCTCGACACCCTGGAATCTACTTGCACCCACCCCAATTCCAGAAACAGGGTTTAAATCCCCCCAGTGTGCTGTGTATATTGTATTATGTATTTGCCTTAGTAATGTGCACTATTTGCACTATGTGTATCCTGTCTACAATGTCTATGTCAGTGTCCTGTCTGTATTTGCACCGTGGACCGGGAGGAATGATATTTCATTCCACTGTACACTTGTATATGGCTGGAATGACACAAACGCGAACTTGAACTTGAAGATCATTTGTAACCTCAGACAAAAAAAAAGCTGCTTTGCTATTATGTTTAAAAAAGATGCTCAAGTCACAGTTAGGAAAAAGGGAGTTGGGCAGATTTTTAACTCATACCCCAAAAGAGGGGGATTGCATTTTCACACCTCATCACATTCCTGCTGCATGTTAAAACAAAACCCTCATGTCAATCATTCATTCATTCTCCCCATAATGCCACAGAGCACAAATCACAGAGGTTAATGTTGCAGGAATCATTTATACTCAGTAGTATTTTTTACTACTTGCTTAGCTCACACCCTTATTAAGGGAGACTAGTAAATTCAAAGTAAATTTACTTTGAAGTAAACAGGACAGCAAAATAATTTAACAAGATGACAGTTTTATTACAAATAGTAGCATAGCACAATCATACAAGCAGCACAAGTGCCACGAAAACTAGAAAGTATGAATTGAGATCTATGAGAGTTAACAACTATTGCGTTTTCCTTCACCAAGTCAGCAAGATTAACTGATACAGACGACTCCAACGTGGTACTTATTTGTACAAATAATACTGTTTTGCGTAACAGACTCCACTCGCCTGTATAAGCAGACGGAAGCAGAACCCAGGGTCCTTATAATTAAACACTTTTTAAAGAATAACCACATTATGATATAAACATCTTATCATTAAGAAGCCTAGACCGATTGAATGCACAGTCTGGCACACAATTAAGCAGTTTCTAGTAACTTGTTGATACACGACCTGCTTCTTTGGTGTCACATAAGTTACTCCACACAGCGACATCGGCACTCGAACTACTGTAGCAGTTGCATCGAGTAAAACTGATTAAAAAGGGGGTAAACTTGAACATATGACACAGATGATAATATTAATAAATCTGAAGCTAGTCTTATTAAAAACACCCATTGTTTCTATATTAAAACGTTAAGAGACAGTCTTTCTCTGAATTTCATTTTTAAAATGTAAAATTCCCATTCGACAATTTAAAAACATTACCTAAAAAAAACAGGTCAAATGTGAAGAATTTGTCGAGATCATAAACGAAGTTATCCGTGTGTGACAGGTGAATCGATAAACGGTATCCCAGATGAAAACAACGCTTATGATTATTTGCTGTAGTAACCTTCGATTAATATTAACGGGGTTGTTACAGTGACAGGATGCAGTGTTTTAAATTGTTACATTGTAAGTTCCCACTGGCACTCAGCGCCATAAAGGTGAAGAATAATTTACTTTTCCGAACAGCTCGCTTTGGGAGAGATTCCTCGCTGCGCGTACAACTGCACAGGCAAACTTTTAACTACTTACTGCTGGACTGCAACGCTGATCCGCGTTACCCAATACATATTCAACGCATTTTCTTCAGATTATATCTTTGTAGCTTTGTGATTTTTGAAAGCTAAGTCCCGGAGAGAATCAAAGAAGATATCGTTTTTTACTCATTTTCGGCAACAAAGTACAGGAAGTTAAGTAAACATCCCTCGCCTTCTAGAGGCTGGGAAAAAAGGCCTTCCCTAACAAGACATGTTTTATTTCATTGAATCAACTTGCTTGATGGAAGTTTAAAGAAGTTACCAACAGCAGCGACTGTACAAACAACTCAAGCTTACCTTAGCTACTCGGCACTTTTTCCCATTTGTTTTGTAACTAAAATGGTTACATTCCGTCTTGACGGCACTGTATTCCTCACAATACAGTTCCTGCCTGGCTCTGTCCCTCCCCCCCTCTCTCTCTCTCTCTCTCTCTGGGAATATCCTGTACTTTCGGAAACCATCCAGAAGGGGGATAAGTGGATCGTGGCTTGAAATCTCTTGTTGGGGGCAGCAGTTGAATGTAATATGTCACTGTTACATTTGCTGCCCAGGCAGGTTGAGCTGGGCGCTCTGACTCGCAGCTGTGTGGAACAATGGTTTGGGCTCTAGACTCTGAACAGAGCAGTGAGGTTGGGGGTTGAAACACTGGGTGTGGCACACTGCCGTTGTAGACTTTCTCGCAGCTGCCCAGCCGCATGAGCGTTGTGCCATTCTGAATAAAACATCAGCCCAATTGATAAGGACGTTTATGATTATGCCAAACAAGGCTCGGTTCAAATTATGCCACGGTCCTATTGTCACCATCGCTCTATCCGTTTTTAGTCTATAGCAAAAAGGAGCATTAAGTCAATTGATCTAGATGGTTAAATTATGCATAATCGCTCTACGTTTATATAAATCGCTTCGTATTGCAATGTACAGTACACATGTTTTCAAGGCATTCGGCAAATGAGGAAGATATTTAAGAATTTTAATTACACGGACTTTTTTTTTGGTAAATGTAATGTCCGTTGCCGCAAACCAGCTGTTAATAGTTTAATGATTCAAGAACTCCATTAAAATTCTTCACATATTCTGCCATTCCCTCAATATAAATATATAGCTCTTTGGATCAATACACCCTTCAATACAACAACTCTTTGTGTAAAATCTGCTTCTGGTTCTCGTGGCTAAATGCTCCTGCAAGTAATCTCCACCTGCATGAAAGCTTATTCGCCCTGATCCGGGAGATGTGCATGGGAATCCCCCTTTCATTCTGCTTGAGCTTGTTTGTTTCTACATCGCTCTCACCATCTCTAAAGTCCCGGATTATTCTAAATGTCTTCAATATCACTGATTTGAACCTTCATCGTCTTAGTCTTTGAGATAAGGTCTGAAGAACTCCTCGATCCAAAAGATCCCGTTTTTGAAGATCCACGCCATTTAATAAATGTACCGTAATCAGTCTGCATAAAATAGACGATCGCTTTTACAGGCGTAGAAAAAAAGTGCGAGCAATATTTATTTTAAGACTACTTATAAGTCATTGGATTTAATCATAGATTCAGAGGTTAAAATAAATCAGTGTTCCCATGAGAACATAAAAGAGGAGAGAAAAAACGGAGAAGTTAATGCCACGCTGAAAAACAAGAAGAAAAAACAACGATATAAAACCATGATCAAAAAAATACTATTGAGGTTTAGGCTGGAGAAGATCAAAGAGTCAAATCTGGATTGTGGTCATTAACTGTTAGCAAAAATAAAAGGAAAAGTAAATTAATTGCAGGTATGCGGAAACCCCCATGAACAGACTGAAGTGCAGAAACATTTTTAACAAAACATTGTTTATGCACTTAGAAAAGCGGTCCAAATGCATAAATTGGAGATAACCTTTAATGTTGCTTTCAAATGTTTAAAATAATGACGTTCCGTCAGTAATCCAAAATGTGTTACCAATATTGCTCTTGTACTGTAGCAACACGAGGCTGTTATACTGAACAGCTGGAAAAGGTATCTTAGCAACTGCAGCTTTCCGAACGTTACATTGATTTACCGCGTGCAATTAATTCCCCACGTGGAGAAGATTACCACCAGGTGGCACATCGGTTCCATGATGACGTTCGTCTTGTATTTTTTTTATAACGCCTGTGCGCTGTAGTCTCTTAACTTTAACTGTGTGTGAGACTTTGACGCATAACGCTGACGGGTTGTTGGGTTTTTTTTTTACATTACTTATCCGAGTAATTTTCCACCTCCTGAAAACTAAAATGAAAGTGCGGGAGCCTACCGAGGAAGTATTAACATATCAACCGGCTGTTGGGGCCAGTTCTGTTTTGAGTTTAAAATGCCTCTGCGTATGTTTGGCTGATGAATTAAAAGGCAGCAGACACAACCTCCCTTTTAATTAAGTGGAAAAGGATGCCACGGCTATGCTCAGTACTCTTAAATTCCTTTATTTGTTCAATACAGGAAAACAAGTTATTTAAACGTTATATTTACACTGTACGTCATATACAAGCTATACAATAACTATAATAAGGTTATGAGTGAGGGTTAGGTGGCTTAACTAATAGACAATAGATTTTATTTCACTTACATAATGCTACTAATACTTTTAATTCATGGGAGATGGAATCCCTAATCTAAAGTGCTACCTACAGTACATGCTAGTGTTATGTTAAACAATATGTACCCAAACTGCTGTGGTCACTCTTTAATACTAATCAAATACTGTTAAAAACTCAATATTTACTGCTGAATAAAAAAAAAATGTAAACCCCAAAAGTTAGATCTGATATGCAATCAATGTAAAAATACCTGTGCCACGATATTTACTGTATTTATTACATTAAAAATGTAAACCCCAAAAGTTAGATCTGATATGCAATCAATGTAAAAATACCTGTGCCACGATATTTACTGTATTTATGCCCACTTTCAAGTTGTCAGCTCCAGTCCCTTGCTACGTCCGCGCCACAGAAGGAGAGCTAATGATGTTTATCTCATCATTACGGCACGTTTTCCTCTGCTTGATTCTTAGAGGGCCACGGTCTTTTGTATTTCATTCTGGCTCATTGATCAATCGCTTCTTTGATCTCATGATTCAGATTGCCATCGTTCGTCCAGCAATCTATTCCTGCCTCCAATCGGAACAGGTCAGGTACTAATGAGAGTGAACTAAAACCATCTACATATTGTTAAGTAGTAGCAGTAGTTATACCGTTTCCCTACTGTTTCAAGACTGTATTCAGCAACTGTACATTGCCACGAAGTGCAGAAGTGTAACTGCTCCCTAGATAAGGTGTTGGCCCTCAATTCAGGAAATAATGGCACCTGAAGCATAGTTTATATAGAAACAGTTAGTTTGTCAAAGGAATTAATAATTCTAGAAAAACACAGTAGCAAACTTGTACAGACGCAGACTTAAAAAATAGTAAAGAAACAATCTTTTGCTCTGTAAAGGGAAGTCATGCTGGGAGAAACATGGTGAAGTAGCACTTCAAGAGGAAGGTGCCCTTGTTAGATCACATTATATACAGTGAGAGTTTTATAGTAAAGAGGAAAACGTATGTTGAGGCAGGTTTTACTCCTAGTTCACACTTTTTGAAGAGGTTTGTGCTGTCTTTTCTTTTCCAATACTGGTTTATCATTTTTCCCAGGTGTGAGCGATAAAGACGTTTTGATGACCCATTGTAACAGAAAATAGTGCTGCAAGTAATTCAGATCTGGGGGTAAAAAATGATATGTGATTATTTGTATCTGATTACAGTAATTACCAAATCAGTGGCTTCCAAATTATGAAAAGTGGAATTAAACTTTTCCACAACATACAGTAGCTGTCCATTTGTCAATAGGGTTTCAGTTAGATTTACACAGCTAACATCTGCAACACCTTGGAATTTGCATTCATGCAGACTTTCAACACATGTGTAGTTTTTAGATGTAAGTAATATGAAGCCCAAGTAGCAATCTTTACCATTTTAATTTCACTGCCTGTGGTAAATGTCACCCTTGCAAAATATCACACCTGCGAGCACTAAGCAATTGCTTCAATTTGAGGACAGTGATATACTAATGGAAATGACTGCAGGAGACAGCAAACACTGAGAATGAAGAATTGATTTTTATTAATCTATTCCAATTCAAATAGGAGACAGCACATTTGGCTGCATAACACTTTGGTCTTTTGACCTCAGCTTCAGAGAAAAAGATGACAGGAGTGTGAGTATTGCTCATGTTTTTATGGATGATGTTTTTTCCTGCCATCTATCGGGAAATTTTAATTGCAAATCAGCAAATAAGATTCTCATTCTTTGAAAATGTTAAATTAAATCATAATGCATAACAATAATACTGTCTTTTGGAAACTATTTTTGAAATATTTTGAGTTTGAATATTTAAAATTTACATTTAAAAGAATATGTGAAGTTAATTTGTTTTGTGAACCTCACATTTCAAGAATGTTGAATTTTAGATCTGTTGTTTATTCAGCTGGTGCTTTATCCGAAGCCACTTAAAATGTGGGCCTATTTACAATATTTTCAACTGAGAGGCTCAGTTAATAAATCGAAAATCTGACAAATAAATAAAAATAAGGGAAGTTGTTGTTGCACTTACTTGTTGAGGACATGTAACCTGCTGTATGTCCAGGTATTCACAGCTTCTAAAACAGCTAGGCTCTCGGTCTGGCTACTCTGAATTGTTCATTCACTAAGAAGTGGGGCTCCCCTATCTCATGAATCTGCCATTTAAGAAGTAGTTCTAAATCTCAAAACTCCCCAGCCAACCAAACCAAACAAAGCCTTCTGAACTTCATGTCCTGTTGCCATTATGAGCTTTTGTCTGTGCAGAACTTATGACCAATCTTGTAGGGTAAAGGTCTGTCACTGACATTTTTTTCATTCCTTTCACAACTTGTGTAAGTACAGTTTTTCCCGCATGGCATTTTCTGAAACGTTTTTTGCATTGAGTTAGAAGCCTAAATTGTGAACAGTGGTGATTAAATTACTCATTACTTAGTAGAGCCACTGCAGGCAAAAAAAAACAAGACTAAAATGACAGATTACTCAAAAACAATTAAAATTGAACACAGAGAAAACCGAGCAGAACAAACGGACATAAAACACAATTTGCAGAATTTGAGAATAAACACAAAGCCTTTCAATAGCTTAATCCGTTTAACTTGGCTGAAAGTTTGCTAAGCACCTTTCACCAAAATATACGATTCCAGCAGCTGTAAACAACTGATAAAAAACAAACCAATCTTTTGTTGGAATAAAATAGAAACAATTAAATCCGCATTTCACAAGGTTCCTTGGCTGCAGAAGACTTGTAAATTAATTGAGAAAAGGTGTCTTTTATAAGTAATGGCTCTTTTTAATGTAATGAGTTTTCATTTCTTATTAAATGATTTGGGAATAGGAA